TGAACCCGAATTTATCAACATTGCATTCATCATTTCTTTAAGAGTCCGATTTTTGCGTTCAGCAACACCATTTGATTGGGGAGAGTAAGGTGCCGTAGTTTGATGAATAATGCCGGTTTGAGAACAAAATTCATCAAATGGAGCACCATATTCTCCACCTCTATCACTTCGAATCATTTTGATTTTCCTTCCAAGTTGATTTTCCACTTCAACTTTATAGCTTTTAAAAGCTTCCAAGGCCTAGTCTTTGCTCCTTAGCAAAAACACATAACAATATTTAGTGCAATCGTCAATAAACGTAATAAAGTATTTCTTTCCTCCTCTAGTTTGCACAAATTTTAAATCACAAATATCACTGTGAATTAAATCTAGAGGTTCCGTTGTTCTTTCAACAGAATTAAATGACAATTTAGTCATTTTTGCTTCTACACAAGTTTCACATTTTCCTTTTTGATAATCGAATTTAAGATGAGGTAGTAGTTCTAAGTCTACTAACTTTTTGAGTGTTTTAAAATTCACATGTCCTAGTCTAACATGCCATAATTTAGAACACCCTGTCAAGTACATAGAATTAGTAATTTTATTATCATCAAGCTTGTGAACAAGCGTCATTACATTCATCTTAACAAGGCCGTTATCAACATAGCATTTCCCTATAAAACAACCATTTTTGGTGAGAATTAATTTCTCAGCCTCAAGAACTAACTTAAAACCAACCTTAGTGAGCAGCGTTCCGGAAATTAAATTTTACGGATATCCGGAACGTGCATTACATTAACCAAAGTGAGCTCCTTCCCGGAGGTGAGCTTCAAAACAACCTTTCCTATGCCTACAACAACCGAGGTGGCAGAGTTTCCCATGAACACCTTTTGACCATTGATTGGAGTGTAGGAGGAGAACGACTCCTTGTTGGAGCATATGTGGCGAGTTGCGCCCGTATCGAGCCACCATTCCTTGGGATTGTCCACCAAGTTAGCTTCAAAGACTACGGCACATAAGTTGAGGTCGGACATGTCGATGGGAACACTTTTATCTTCGACCATGTTAGCTTGCCTCTTGGGTTGACGACAATCCTTTGCCATGTGATTTGGCTTGCCGCAATTGTGACACGTTCCATTGAACTTGAACTTCTTTGGCTTCCATTTTCCTTTGCCGTTGTTGCTTCCATTTCCACCGCCACTAGCACTTCCTTGTGTCTTTCTTTTCTTGCTAACCTGCATGTTTGGTTCCATAAGGTGTGCTTTAGTCTCCATTTGCTGCTTGCCGGTTTTGGACTCGGTCTTTCGATTGTCTTCTTCAATCCTTAGCCTCACGATAAGATCTTCAAGCCCCATTTCCTTGCGTTTGTGCTTGAGATAATTCTTGAAATCCTTCCAAAGCGGTGGTAGCTTTTCGATCATTGCAGCGACTTGAAAGGATTCACTCAGTCTCATTCCTTCGGCATGAATATCATGCATGATGAGTTGCAACTCTTGGACTTGGCTCATAAGAGTCTTGCTGTCCACCATTTTGAAGTCCAAGAACTTCCCGACGATGAATTTCTTCAACCCGGCATCTTCTGTTTTGTACTTCTTTTCTAAGGACTCCCACAGTTCCTTAGCGGTTTTGATCGCAGTATACACATTGTATAGTGAATCATCTAGAGCATTCAAGATGTGATTCCGACACAAGAAGTCGGAATGAAACCAAGCATCCCACGCAACTCTCGTTTCCAAGGTAGCGTTGGCATCAGGCACAGCGGGAGGTGTTTCCGTAACGAAAACAACCAAGTTGATAGTGGTGAGGTAAAAGAGCAATTTCTGTTGCCAACGTTTGAAATCAATACCTTTAAACTTCTCCGGTTTTTCACCATGAGCGACGACAGGAGGGTATGGGGCGGGACGAAACGTTGGTGGAAGAGCCGGAGGTGGAACAACACCGTTTGGGGAAGGAACAGGAACATTTGGCGGCTGCACTCCTTGGTTTGGTGGATCAACATGTTGGTTTTCCGGGTTGTTGTTGTTGTTGTTGTCTTCTTCGGCCATTTTGCAGATTGAAAGTAAGATTTCGTCTTAAGATTGTTGGAAATCTGCTATGAACGAGAATTTTGCCGAGGCGAGTTGTCTCTGTCCTTAAGACGAAATTTCCCCGCAATGGTGCTAACGGATTAAATGGAAATCGTCTCCCAAGATACAACGGCAAAACTTGGAATAGGAGCACTCCAAATCCCAAGTACGACGAGTTGTACTTTGTGTAGAACTTTTCGAGAGAATCTGTAAAGGGAAGGCTTAATATGCTGTAGGCTAGTATTTGGATTGAAGTGAAGAATTCTGGGAATGTTAGGGTCTATTTATAAGGTTTGAAAAGTAGTGTCCTTTGGAGCAAAAAGGTACCTTTTGTTTGAATGGTTGCACCATTTCGATTTGAGCCAATTGGGAGTAGTTGCACCATTTCGAGTTGAGCCTGAATGGTTTGCATTGGTTCGGCCGCACCAATTCAGACCAGTCAGACCAATCGAGATGGGCTTCGAGTAATAAGCCCATGACCTAATGTTTTTGGCCCGAAAAATTAATGTAGTGATTTGGGCTCGAGCCTAAATCCAAATCCGATCCGTCCGTACGAACGAGCGAGCCGAGCCGAGCCGAGCCGGTCGGCTGGCCGGCGGCGGCGCGCGCGCGCGTGTGGGCACGATTTGAAACTCATAACATATAGGCCTTTCTCCCAAACAAAGTCGAATTCCCAAAGGGCGTGACCCTTTGTCCCCATATTTTGATATAAATACAGCTCAGTACTTCTCTACTTTTCCAATGTGGGATAACTTAAAATCCCACTTTCCTTATATTTTGGACTAGTAATTTTTCATTCACCACAAAATTGGTTTTAATCCAAAATTCATTTATATACTTAATTAGACCGTGCAATAACATTGATAAAAATTGTTCATGACTCAATTTTTAACCAATTTTCCCAACACTAATATATGACGATAATAATGTCTGATTGCACCAAGGAGATTTTGGCTATATCAAGGGAGGTGGCCGAAGAATTATTGAAGATTTTTAAAGTACTCGAGAGTTAAAGAAGAAAGACGACTTGACAGTTATTGATGACAAACAAATAATGAGGTTGCAAATCCATACGTCGGCGATCTTACTCCAATGTCTCATGCTGAAAACAGGGGGAGCGTGATCAACAATTTCAACACTGTACTCTTTTTCCTTCGTCCAAGTTTTTATCCCAATGGGTTTTTCTTGTCAAGGTTTTAACGAGGCAGTGTTACGCTCTCAAGATTTAAATGGATATGTACTCTTTTCTCCTTTGTTAAGGTTTTGTCCCATTGGGTTTTCCTAACAAGGTTTTTAACGAGGCATACTCCATATATGGTGGACATCCAAGGGGGAGTGTTATGAATTCTTAAGTGTGGATGACCACCATTACTACCATCATCAAGCACAATTACTCCCACCACTACTCCCACTATTTACTCACCATTATATGCCCATAACTCCTTGTAACTCATGACCTTTCATGGTAGGGGTGGGCATTCGGGTCGGGTTATTCGGGTATAACCCGACCCGGTCGGGTATTACCCGACCGGATCGGGTAATTTTTTATGAAACCGGGTTTTTTCCGGGTTCGGGTACCCGGTGCTCCCAAACCGGGTCGGGTCCGGGTATTAGAAATCCTACCGGGTTACCCGATCGGGTACCCGGTTGATTTTTTTTTTTTTTTTTTTTTTTTTTTTTTTTATATATATATATATATATATATATATATATCAGTATATGTATATGTAATGCAGTATATGTATGTATATGTCTATATATATGTATAGTCTGTATCTCTGTATATATATATATATATGTATGTCTGTAATCTGTATATATATATATACGTATGTCTGTATATATATACATATATGTCTGTATGTCTATATATATATATATATATATATGTATCTTAAGTAAATTTAGTTACTATTTATTTTTCAAAAATGAAAAAAAAAAAATAAAAAAAAAAAAAAAAAAAAAATAGCAAAACCCGAACCCGACCCGAAATAACCGGGTACCCGGTTGCCGGGTACCCGGTTATCTCGGGTCGGGTTCGGGTAATATTTTTTTTGCAAAAAACCCGAATAACCCGACCCGAATAACCCGAATAACCCGACCCGACCCGAATGCCCACCCCTATTTCATGGTCTTACTTGTACTATATATAGTGCTCCATTGTATAGAGTTGGATACACAAGAAGATATATTTGTTTCTCTCTGTATTACTATCAAATTACAAGTTTGCCAATGCATTCGTTGGAGATCAATCACTACATAATCCAGAAGATCATCTAACCCCAATGTCTCATGTCGAAATCAGGGGGAGTGTTATCAATAGTTCCAACACTGTACTCTTTTTCCTTCGTCCAAGTTTTTGTCCCATAGGGTTTTTCTTGGCAAGGTTTTAACGAGGCAGTGTCACGCTCACAAGCTTCAGATGGATATGTACTCTTTTTCCTTCGTTTAGGTTTTGTCCCATCGGGTTTTCCTAACAAGGTTTTAACGAGGCATATTCTATAAATGGTGGACATCCAAGGGGGAGTATTGTGAATTCTTGGAGGTTATGGATGACCACCATTACACTCTCCATTAAACCCCCATTCTTCCACCATTATTCACCATTAAGGTCTTGTAACTCATGACCTTTGACTAGCTTTTCTACACCTATAAATTAGGTGCAATGTATTGTATTTTGTACACTTGAATATATGGAATAATATATTACATATTCTCCCTACTTTATTCTCTACTTCTTGTATATTGTTTATTAGTTTCTCAACATTTATAAATTATATTCTATTTTACAAAAAACCCTGGAAAATATAAATTAAGAAAACATAGGCTGAACAACGAGAGGTCAGCATCAAGCAGAAAAGATAAATGACATACGTGTAAAAATATCATTGGCTCTTTGCTAAAAACCAAAATAAAAAAAATCCGATAAAACAAAGCAGGATAATCTCTTAAATCCACTCCTCTCATATTTTTCCAACTCCATTTTTTCTCCAAAAACAAATGGAAAATCATTTTCTTTACTGCTGAACTCAATTATTTATTTATCCAGAAGAAATTTGTCCAATTTTAGCAATGGCGGCCGTCAATTCTGTTTCATTCGCCGGAATAGTTCAATCCCCTGACCGGAAATTTACAGCTCGCAGTAATTCGGCTTCAAATTTCGATGCTTTTAAGCTCCGCGGTACTGTGTCGTATGATTCGTACAATTTTCGTGCTTCGAGATCGACTCGCATGGTTGTTCATTGCATGACCGCTGTTACAGGCAAGTTTTTTTTTTTTTATTTATTTATTTTATGTTGAGGTATTTTGCTGTGGATTTCGTGTTTTCTTAATTTTGAATGTGTTTATTGCAAGTTTGTGTTCATCTCCGTACAATAGTGTTTCTCTTATTGCTTACATAATTGCTACTAAATTCAAAAGAATGGCCACAATGTATACTTTTGGTGGATACCATAGATTACATTGTGACTTTTTTAATAATAAATTCACTTAATTATGTACTTGTGATAGCAATTTACATCATCGAAACTAGAAGTTTTCGATTAAATGTTTGGGTGGGATAGAATTGGACATAAAATTCTAGTGATTTTATGAGAATATTGTTTATTTTGTTGTTGTTGTTGTTGTTGTTGTTTTTGTTGTTGTTGTTGTTGTTGTTGTTGTTGTTGTTGTTGTTGTTGTTGATGCTTATTTTATTTTTAGATGATATGCAGGAATGTATTTGTATATTCGTTCAGAAGTGATTTATGAAGTCATCGACATAACTTTTCGATTCTTAAGTTTCAATTCTTGGATGATTTTGTAGGTCTTTTGCCTTCATCCTACCCTCCCTAATAAGTTTCAATTCTTTGCTACTCATTCAGAAGGGTTTGCTCGTCGTTGACATTTTCGTAAATTTTGTAAAACCTTCGGATACTAAAACTTGAATGTCCCAAGAGAAGACATTGTCAAACAAGTTGTTTTATTTCCTTCCAAGCCAGTTTGTTTTGCTCGCGGAGATTTCTTTCATTTCTGGATTTGTTTTTTTCATTCGCGTTCTTGAAATCTGGTATTGAATGAATTGGCATCTTTGGAACTTAAATTGTGCATTACTTAAACTTGTTATACCTTGATAAATTTCGTTATTTACTCAAAATATACCTCGACGTGAATTTTCTTAATACATTATAGGGTGTGTTCGAGCTCAACAAGAGTTCTTCTTGCCTTTTTTATGTCTGGTATGTTACACTTTGCGGATTTTTTCTAATGTCAATACAGTTTGTCAAGATTAAAAATCAAAAGATACGATTTCCACTACTCGTTCTTGAACAAATTAACTGTTTCAAGGAAAGCATTTGAAATTCTACTAATATACGTATCACTTTCATTGACTCTGTGCATCTGTTTTTAGAAAATACCTCTTTTATTCAAGTCTGCTAATTCTTTTTTGCTTGCATTACTGCTTCTGAAATTTATTCCCTTGCCTTCAGATATACCTACTGTATCTCAGACAAAGTCTAATTTCTTGAAAGCATATAAGAGGCCGATTCCTAGTATATACAACACGGTATTACAAGAGCTTATCGTACAACAGCATTTGGTGAGGTACAAGAGGACATATCGGTACGATCCTGTGTTTGCTCTCGGTTTTGTTACCATTTACGATAAACTCATGGAGGGGTACCCAAGTGATGAAGATCGAGATGCCATTTTCAAAGCTTATGTTGAGGCTTTAAATGAAGATCCTGCTCAATATAGGTCGGTCTTATACTATTTTATTTTGTGTTTGGCTGTTTGCTCCATTTTCCTTCTGATGAAATTAGGGTCCAAGCAGGCGAATATACGCAGACGATAATAAATCATTTGCATTTTGAAAAATAATAAATAAAAGAATACGCTTGAAGGAGTAGGATGTTTGTTTATTCGAAGAGGTAGAATAACAATTCTAGATTTGGATATGGTTTCTGGGAGATTGTTTACAATACAACATAACTTTTCGATTTGTTCATGTTAATTATTTCAACACCACCTCAAATTAAATACAGTCCTTTATTTTCCTACAATAGTTTGGGTCTTCTTTAGTGCTTTACGTTTTTTGTAAGAAAACGAAAAGAAACGAGGGTCAGTGGAGATAAAGTCAGGAGAATGGTTTTTTGTAAATTATGATTTTTTCTTCGAAGATGAGAAATTTTACTTGGATTTGGATGCTTGAACATCACACCTTAAAACCGTACCGTGAATGCAACAGTTTATAATTTCGTTGCTGATTGAACTTGATTTAAGATATTTAAGAGAGAGTTTTATATTCAACTTTGCACTCAAAATATGGCGTAATACAACAGTCTAAACTCTAATGTCGAAGAAGATGTATACAACTATATTTTATGTGATGGGAAACTTTATCATTCCTTAGCTATATATGTAAAATCTGATATCCCATAGTTTCTAGAAAGTTCTCATCCCCTTACACTTCGTTTTTCATTTTGATGTTAATTTTGAACTATTTAGGCTCATGTGGAAAGATGTCAGCTATGCTATTAACTTAAATGGATTTGATTTAGGATATTGTCAACTCCTATGTCATAAGTATGTTTACATAAACAAAAAAAAAAAACAAAAAAAAAGAAAAAAGAAAAGAAAAAACGAGAGCTTTGACTAGTATAACATGTGGGTTATGGCCCATATTCTGATTCAAATGGCCAGCGTAAATTTAAAAAAGCCTTCCTATTAAAGTCTAGTTTAATATGTAAATGATGTTTTTATGGTGCAGGGTTGATGCTCAAAAGTTAGAAGAATGGGCGCGTGCTCAGTCGTCTAGTTCTTTAGTTGATTTTACATCGAAGGAGGGAGAAGTTGAAGGCATACTAAAGGACATTGCAGAAAGAGCAGGGAGCAATGGAAACTTCAGCTACAGCCGTTTCTTTGCTGTTGGTCTCTTTCGTCTGCTCGAGTTAGCAAATGCCACTGAGCCAACCATTTTGGATAAGGTAAAATCTCGTCAGAATTATTTCTTAGTATGGTTGTCCATACAAATATTAACAGTGATGCTGAAATTGCGTGCCTCTCTAGTTTTACAAACACAACATCATTTTTTGTGATTTCAGCTTTGTCATAACTATTTAAAATGGCTCTATCTAACAAAAGGTCACAAGGTGGACTATTATTACTTCGGTTAAAATGATAGGCACGTGTTCTGAAACATATTCTCGGAGCTAGATGAGAGAGAATATTATGTTTTGAGCTTGGATTTTACACGATTTTGGACATAAGAGATGGCCATTATTGCTTCACATATTCTGAACTATATATTTTGGAAACCCGTAAACTGAAACATTATTTTTCTGTGTAATATATTTCGATTGAACTGCACACCGAGTCAGCCCTAAATCTAGATAACCCAAGTACATGCTCAGAACTAACTGCATATCATTTTTTTTATTACGCTTGATAGACAATAAAATTCAAGCTTCGTCACAAGTTCAGTGTTCAGGTTTCAAGCTCATGATAAATAAACGGCGTCAAATTTTAGTCAATCATAATTAGACTATCACAAAGATTGTATAATCACAAATCCCAAACGTAAGATAAGCCCATAGTAGTTATTACACCATTACCATGGACAATGTAAACCTATCCAGTTCAATAATTTTTATTAATCCCATCATTTTTTTTTTCTTGCTGATATAATTCTTTGATGAATTGATAGCTTTGTGCCGCTCTGAACATAAACAAAAAAAGTATTGACCGCGACCTTGATGTTTACCGCAATCTGCTTTCTAAGCTGGTTCAAGCTAAAGAGCTCTTGAAGGAATATGTTGACAGGTGATAATCGAAGAAAACGGTTATATTAAACTGCTTTATATTTCTAAAAAGAAAAGCTTAAAAGACCCTCTAAGAAAAGTGCTTATGCTCGTTTTTCTCAAGCTTGTTTTTCGATGTTTTGAAATTTCAGGGAGAAAAAGAAAATGGCAGAAAGGGCCGCTGCTGCATCTCAGAAAGCTAGTGAAGCTGTCACAAAAATGCTCGGTGGAGTGCAAATCAACTAGGCGGTAATGTACAATTTTATGTTGCCTTTTGTTAACATCATATTGAGGATATATAACAACACACATCGAAAATCAATCGAGTACGAGAAAAAAAAAAACAAAAAGAGCTTCATGCAGATGTTATAATAGAGGCCATTAAGTGGTATTATATGTTGATTATCGACTACTACTAGCTTGGAACAGTATTAAATTTGTTTTTGAAATGTAATTTCATTATTTCCTGTCGATAAATGCATTAAACGTTGACGCATAGTGATATACTCTACGTTTATTGTGTTTGTAAAGTTGTGTGGTGTTTTTATAAACTGAGAATCTGATATATCAATGAGATTTCAGAACACTTTTTACCGTCGTTTGGTTAATCCCATTTTGCACCATTGAAATTTAGCATTTTGGCTCTTTGCACCCTTGAAAAAAACTAATAGCACTTTACACCCTCGAAACACAATAAATCACTCGTTATGCACCTTGAATTGAATATTTAAAACTTAATAAGGCAAATCTCATTTTTTCTTGGTTTTTTAAATTTACATGCTGCAAAATAAAATTTTAAATGGTTGTAAGGTTTTTTTGTTCTTTTTATTTTATATTTTTATGATAAAATTATAATTTTTAAATATGTTGATGAAATGTATTTTTTTTTTTTTGCACTTTGTAGTTTCAAAATGATCGATGAATAAGTTACGTTAAGACAAAATATATATATATATATATATATATAGAGAGAGAGAGAGAGAGAGAGAGAGAGAGAGAGAGAGAGAGAGAGAGAGAGAGAGAGAGAGAGAGAGAGAGAGAGAGAAGAAAAGATCAAGTATGATCATTTATGCTATCAACTGGAAAAAGGAAGCACAGTCGAAGAACCTACACAATATATTTCATCTTAAAAAAAACAATTAATGGGGGATCGAAGAGAAAAGAATAGGTAAGAGATCGAAATTGATTGATGATATACTACGCTTGTATAAAAAAGAAAAGCAGAGACTAATCAAAACATGGCGGACGAAAAAATTAATTTAACTGAACTGAGAAATATCGACCTCGTCTGGAATCTTGAAAGTATCTGCAGCTCCAAATTTCCTGCATTCTTCCCCGACAGACTCATCTTCTTCGTTATCACTATCATCGTCAAGATTCATTGGAGTCGACGATGGGTCTAACACACTTTTCGATATGCAATCGTTCGTAGCTAGCATCTTAACTTGCCCAAGTGCTGATATTTCCACTACTACTGTCTCGTCATCTACCGGAAGTGGCTGTCTCCACGGTTCTCCGTCGATCCTCATGTATGTATCCTCGGCCGCACCTTTGCGGAACTCAAATCGGATGCGTTGTGCCTTTGTGTAGTTAATTAAATTAAAATTAAATAAATAAACAAACAACAGAGAAACTATAGAAGTTTTTGTGTCTGTTTCTGTGGAGGGGTCTGTTATTTACTGAAGGGTAAATTACGAAACCCCCTGAACTTAGGCTATATTACGAAAAACCACCTCACCTATTCGTAATTACCAAAAAAAACCTGACGTTTCGGGTTGAAAGGGGAGTAGGTGCTGAAAGGCAAGTGAAAAGAAGGGTATAATAGACTTCACACATTTTCTGTTAAAAAGCTCGTTCAACAGAGGGGCATTTTGGTAATTACCATAGGTGGGGTATTTTTCGTAATTTAGCATAAGTTCAGGGGTTTTTTGTAATTTACCCTTTACAAAATCATGCATGGAAAGTGTTGGGGGAAAAAATGGAGAGAAACCTGAGCAAGACGGGTACCATGTCCGTTTTTAGCAAGTAAAACAAGTCCATGCCAAGCGTCTTTAAAACCAACAACCTCAATTAATCCGTCGTCTACGAAAGGTGGAGTCAGGTCTTTCTGTGCACCAAGTAAACACATAACTGATTCAGTTATTCTATTTTCTCTCGAGTAAAATACGGAAACAAAAGAAAAAAGGAAAAAAAAAATACTTACGTAACGGCGTCGATTAGTGTTTGGAGTTCCCCAAGGATTTAGTCCACCAGAAAAGCTCGGCAAGTTAAGGCATACAATTGACCTGATGCTGTGTCGATCAAAAAATGACATATTTTATATTAGTTAGCGCAACTTTCGCATTTTTCCCTCCACAGATCAAAATTTAAACCAATTCTATATACCTGTGAGGAATACGGAGATCATGCCAGTCGCCGTGCTTTTTCATGACCTTAACCTTGCAAAGTTGGCCGATATTCCTGCCGAGATTATTTAGTTTCATCTCATTCGAATAAATTTATTTAAAAAAAAAAGTTACATTTAAAATAGACATGCAAAAATATATGGAATAAGCTTTACTTTGAGGAGGGGTGAGCTAGAGAAGCAAAAAACCATCCTTGTGTGCATCCAAGCTTTGCGTATGTACTCTACGAGGCAAACAATGATTATTAAGCATCTCTCTAACAATAACAAACTCGACACAATCTTCGTTTACAACATACATAATGGGGAAAACGCAATCCCGACTCTGTGAAAAAAAAAGTGCTTAATTGCGATAATTTTTCGGGAAAAAGGGAAACTTTTAAAGGTTTAGATGGCATATTCAATTAGACCTGATTTATGAGCTGGTTATTGAATTTTTCGGGATGAAGTTTGCGCTCGGAGTGGAATGCATAAGACACTTGTGCGTCCATTCCTGAAGGCAAGAAAAACATATGCGTATTAAAATTTGGTATTGGAAAATCGAAGCCAATAAATATCGTGTTAGTTTCTCCGAATATTGCAATGCAATGTTCACGGTAGAGACACTCTTTACTAAACTAAATAACCATTTGGAAAATTTATACAAGATTTTAAAAAAGTTTACGAGCTTCATTTTCTGGAAAACATATTTATAAAAATTCGAACTTACCCATGCTGAAGTAGTTCCAAAACCCTCCACGGAATGTGTCGTAACCTTTCTGAAACAATTTACTTACATGTTAGAATAATAATTAATTTCGAAGATTTTGAATCTCATTAATCATTTTTCTCACTGAAATTAATGTCAATATTATTATTATTATTAACACGAGAAATAAATAAAATGATTCTGACTTACGACGTTGAGATCATCTGTTGAGGAAACCCGATGAAAAGCATGCAATGAATGCGGCAACTCTAATGGCGCAATCGGCTCACAGTTACTCCCTTCCTTCGGTACTCTCATTCGCATGAGAATGTGCCAACTACAAGTCGAAGAAAAATCCGATTTTTTTTCTTCTTAAATTCGGATAAAAATTACCCTTTTGTATTTTTCGCGGTCGATGATTAGAAAAATAATCCATGTTCTTAATAACATTGTTCTAATGGAGTGATGTTTTCTTTCACACAAGTAACTTTATGGAGATAAATGCAATTGTTTTCATGTCGAGATCACTAAAAGGGAAAAAATGAAGATTATTACTGAAACGAATAAAATCGAAAATCGGGAGTTGAATAAAAAAATTACCTATCTATTCTCATTTCTTTTGCTTTCCGCACTTGTTCCAGGAACGAGAGAACCGAATTACGGTCGGTGCCAGGATTTCTCTTACCCTGAACGGAATCGAGATCACTATATATAACACAATGTATTTCAACTAAGATTAGCTCTCTGTACACATGTTCAACAAACTATACATCATGCGTTTATCGTAAATTATCAGATAGCATTTTTTAAAATTGGCGAAGTTTTCTTACCCAACCAAATGCAAACGGCAGATTATTTCCGGTTCCCAAAGGTACAGTAGCAACGGGTGGAGGCTGAGACAATTTCAGATCAGAAACCACCCCGAGAATCCAGCCAGCTGTACCATCTCCGCCAGCAACCTATACATTACCGTATATTATATCTTTTTTCACCGAGAAGTAAAGATTTCACATGCATTAGAATCACCGAAAATTTTCGTATTTTTCCTCACAATTATTCTAAACTTCTCCTCAAGTTTAGGAGCAAATTGATCTCCGTTATTCTTGAGCCTTTCGAGATTGAGAAAAACCCTTCTTAGCACGCTATCGGGAGCTTCTTCGCTTAAATCAAAAACCTGAAATATCAGTGGGATACATCAGTGCATGTTAACAAAGTTCACTAAGCTAGAAATTCGTTAAATTAATACAGTCGGGACTAACAAAATTCTATTAAATTTAGTAAAATATTAAATTATCGAACTAATTATTTAATACGTTTTTACCGAGTCGGGACCGGAAGAAAGTATTATTTATGCGAGGTTATTAATTTATCGAGGTTCTACTGTATTACAATAAATTGCAATCGTTACACCCCTTAAAATATTAGCTAATTTTGACCTGGTCTTTGTTTAGTAAGGACCGATACGTGATAAGAAGATCGCCACCTAGTTGACCGCCACTTGTCGAATTGATGAACACCAAAACGGGGCATTCGGGTACGTCGGGCAAACACTCGGCCTTAGCCTGTGAAGTGATTATATAGCTAGGTATGTAAAACTGCTTCAGAAAGTTCTCCGAATTTAAATCCAGACTCGCCACGCCTAACTCCATGTCACAAACTGCAATACAAATTTCAGAATTATGTGACAATTCATTAACATCTTCGTATCTCACAAACTAATAATGGACCAGTAATAATCGGTATAATTTTAAGAATCAATTATTTGACAAGTAGAGAAGAAAGTCAAATTCATCGATAATGTTTCGATCGATTCGTTCTACGTTGTCCACTCCCACTCTCAAAAAGTTAATTGCACCCAAATTTTATCTGACAAAAAAATAAAAAAAACATTCACCATATTACACTCTCAAACATGATTACACAACCGAAGAATCCAAGACTGCTTTGATCCAGCTCAAACTCAAACCAGTAATTTAATAAATAAAAATTACAAAAACAAATCTCACTTATAAAAATTCACACATGAAAAAAAGAATTAAATAAAAATAGAGTTGCTCCAAGTAACAGAATGGAGAGTGCATAAAACTTAACAGGACACGTCTCAGAGGCATTAAAACAAACACATAACTGCATATGAATCATTGTATAACCTTTTACATTGGTTACCAGTTCAAAAAATGGGAACTACACTCACATTATGAAACTCAAACTCCGCAATTTCGAACCTACGTAAATATATGCGTGTAACAATATCAAGATTTACGTACGAACATATCAAGATACCCAATTTCAGAAGAAAAAAAAAACAAATATATAGCCGGGTTGAAATTATATTGAAGAAGGAAGCATTTAAAAACCTGGAACAGAAAAAAGATGAAGAAATTCTGGTTTGAGATTTGGATAACAAGAAAAGCAAGAAGGATTGATTGAGGAATGAAAGGGTGGGTTAATTGGGCGGTAAGGAAACTGCCCTCAAATTGGGGGAAGGTAGTTATTACAGTTGCGGAAGTAGTTATTTGTGTGTGTCCCTTCCCGGTAACAACTCAGTGAGTTTTGATGGTGCAGTGCTCTATGTATATAATATTTGGTATTATTTATTTAATTACACAAAAAGTCTCCTAAATCATTTTTTTTCTAAGGTCTCTAAAATCATTTTTTTTAGTAGTGGGAATTGGCTAGATAATATAATATGGTATAGGTTGTTTGACCAAATTAATGTTTGAAATAATATATGAGTGACATTCTTATTTTTTTTTATTCTTATGTTGTCTTTATACTATAAATTCTCTAATTTACATATTCACGTTTTTCCAATTCAGATTTATTTTTCTTCTTTTGGTATATTCTCTCTCTCTCTCTTCAGTAGTAGCACAAAGTTGGTGGGGGGATGGAGCAAGCGCGGGAGCGGCGGAGGGAGTGGTGGACAAGGCGCGACAGGGGACTGTGGTGGTCGAGGTGGCGACAGGGGCTTGTGGTTATGGTGGGGATTTTATTGAAAGCATATTTTTGACTAATCACATTTGATTTTCTTGTTCTTTAAGAGATTTTTCTTGATTTGGGTTTAAAATGGCAAAACTGGTTTTCCCAAACTTAGTAGGTGACTACAATTGCGGCGGCGGCGACTGGTGGCTGCTAGGGTTTAGTGGTTGTTGCGTTGAATACTAGGATTGACGAGGATTGGGTGTTGTTGGCTGCTCGGATTTGGTAGTACACCGTAGTAGACCATAGTACACCGTAGCATATCATAGTACATAGTATATCATTGTACACCGTAATATACCATAGTCTACTACAATGTTGACAAGAGATAAAGAAAATGTAACTTGAATTTTAAAAAATAAAAACATATGTTTTTTTTTTTTTTTGTATTTTTCAATATTATATACATTTTTTTTAATAGTTTAAGAAATGCTAAAATGAAAAAAAAAAAAAGAAAAAGATATGTGTTTTTTGTAAAAGATAATAATAAGAAAAATTAAAAGAATGTTAAATGGAAAAATTAAAATATTAAATACAAATTAAAAAATTGATGAATGCAAGTTGAATTTTAATTTAGATTTTGAATTGTGATAGGCATTTTTGAAATGAATTTTAGGAAGAACGTGAAACAAATATTTAGTTGAACTTGTGTTCTAATAAGTTTTATGACAAGGGACCTATATCTTAAGATCCTATTATTTAATTACACAAAAATCTTCTACATTTTTTTTTCAATTGAGGTATGGAGTATGAACAATGTATTCTTAGGTCTCTAAATTTTATTTTATTTTAATAAGGGGAATTGGCTAGATAGAATAATATGATATAGGTTGTTTGACCATATTAATTAAAGAAATTTAAGTCATCAATTTTTAAATGTATGATGCAAACACCCCTAAACAATAACGTGATTGTACGTATACGTGAAAAATAAATCTCTTTCTTCCACAAATCTCTACGCATTCGATCCATCGACTTTGACTTGTGAGTTTTCAGTGGAAGTTTCGATCAAGAATATTGATCCTAGCTCCTCCGCTAACGAATTTCAAGAAAAGATTACGTATCCCTACTCCCGTCAATATAAGAGCGGCACCACCACATCTACCACCGTAACCACCATCGTCGTCGCCGCTTGAAAGTCCCAAACTACAAGGAGCACAACAAGTCCTCTCTTGAAATCTAAATTGGAAATTTCTTGTAGGAAGAAAAAGGGATTTTGAGAAATTTTTCAAGTCGTAGTGTTTTCTTTTTTCTTTTTGTTACAATTTGCAGCCATTGCATTAGTAACTTAAATGGAATCTTAACTAAAATACAACTAAATTATATTGAAACGATTGTCTGAATGCTCGACTCGTAACTTAAATGAATGCTAATAAATGTACATATATACTTTATCATCATGTAATATGAAACATCCAAAGTCTCAATCTTCGTCCAACTAAATCATTAAATATAAAAGGTCCCTCTACTCTTGTGTTCAAGGGCTTTTCCTTTCAAACGCATTCATAATAATTACGAAGGGCTTTATGTTGACTGTGCTAGGCTGGTAGATTGAGTGGTGAGGTGACTGATTGTTTGTTGGGGGTTATGGTTTTATTACATTTATTAACATTTCAATATATTTTATATATTTGTTGACTCATTTTGTGTTAAAATTGTATTTTGACTTTCTTTATTTTTATGGAAAAATGAAAGTAAGAATTGAATTTTTAATTAGATTTTTATATATAATTTTAACTTGATAGAATACAAAAGATTAGTCATCAACAATTTATTGTCACTTTCATATTGGTATTTTTCTTGTTTTCCTAAAAAAGCAAACAAAACAAAAGAAAACGATTTTACAGAACATCATTTTCATCACTGCTTTTCTTAAGAATTAAAATATTTAATAGAAGAGGAATTTCAAATAACTCATAATTTATTTTCTTTTGCATTTTTATTTTTCTTTTTTCCAAAATGCATGATCTTAAAGTCTTTCATAATTTAAATTCAAATAAATGTGTTAAGAGGTATGAAATGGTGCTTAGAGTTCGTGGATTCTGCGCATTTGAGGTAAGTTGTAATTTGGATTCATATGAAAGAACTAAAATAATAATAAAAAAAAATATTGTTCTTGTTAAAGAATTATTATGTTATAATGTAATACTATAACGATAGTATTTCATCGAATTTTGGTCTAAGTATTATGTTTGAGAAATTTTTGAAGTTTCTCTCAATGTAGTTTTGAGGTATGTATGTCACTTCGTCTTCTTCTTTCTAGACTATGGAGCTTCCAGACCCGGCCCGGACCCCGACCCGACGACTGCCCCGCCCCGCCCGTTGAACGTTGACCCGGAACCGGCCCGCCAATGTATGGGTCGGTTTCGAGTCCCCAATTTCAGGACCCTACCCGTTGGACCCAGCCCGAGGACCCGGGTGTTAAACAACATTTTTGTCCAAAAAATGGACAGGAGGGGGTTCGAACTAAGAGTGGAAACAATGAGTAATTCTTACCACTTGACCACCGAACTTGTTAGATTAAAGGTAGACAATAAATATATATAAAACACCTGTGTAAAATGATTTAAATGACATATAAATATGTTAAATAAATTATTAATTTTCATATTAATTATTATCAAATAATTTTAATTAATTTATCAACAAATGCAATATAAGAAACTTTTAAAAAAATATAGCGAATCGAATATCATATGATTAATCATTTTTTTTACATTTACATTTTATTCAAATATTAGAATCGAATCGTAAGATTTAAATGGATTAAGCTCAAGTTCTTTCAATTCATTTTATTTTTTTATCATATTATATTTGTTAATAATTTAATTAAAATTATTTAATAATAATGAATATGATAATTAATAATATATTTAACATTATTTATTATAGTCATTTTACACTTTTTGTTTATGCTATATATATTCCTTATTATAATAATTTAACTATAAATATATAAATATAAATAACACTGTAAAATGATTATAATAATTGTATAACTAATGTTTAATAAATTACACTACTATTGATATTAAAAATCTCCACTAATAACAAATGCACATATATTTAATTTTGAAAAAATTAAAATTATGATTTAATTTCAAAAAAAAATTGAATTTTGATTTTTTATTTTTTTTATGTAATTTTGAATTTAAAGTTAATCTCAAGTTTTTCAAGTTTCTATTTGAGTGTTGTTTTTCTTTCTTGTATTTATTTGAAAGAAAAAAAAATGGTTTGGACCCGGACCCGACCCAGACCCGCCTCCCCACGGGTCGATTTTGGGTCCTCTAAAAGTCAGACCCGACCCGCCCCGTGGCCATGTCTACTTGAGACCATATGTCTCTAAATTCTTGGTTTTTTTTTATTTTTGTCTGTCCTTTGTCATCTATTTCTGTCATGATTGCGCGTTGATGGTACTCTTATGCTCTTAGCTGGTGTTGGTTTTGTTGTCACACCAAAATTGTCTATTTATGATGTTTATCATATTCCTAATCTTACTCTTTAATCTGGCATCCGTTAGCCAAATATGTGATGTTGATAACTTTGTCATTTTTTTTTTCTGTCTTCTTATTAGTGTATGACCTACAATCTCACAAGCTTACTCATACAAGCTATAGAAATGAGAGATTATATAATTTGGATGAACTACAACTACAAGTGCAAGTAGCAGGGTTGGCCCTGGTGTAGGGCGAGCAGGGCTCACGCCCAGGGCCCAATGAGGTTGAGGGCTCTTTGTATAATATATGTACACATAGAATACCTATATATATTATGTATTTTTTAAGTGTTAAAAAATATTCTTCAATTGTTTAAAAAAAAAAAGTTAATTCTTCAATTTTTTTTAAAAAAGGTTTATTATTATATTACTATTGCTAAAGAATTATTATGATATAATGTTACACTATAATGGTAGATTCATCGAATTTTGATCAAAGTACTATGTTTGAGAAATTTTAGAAGTTTCTATTTATGAAAACTCGAGGTATGTATGTCATAGGTCAGTCACCTTCAAATTCATCAGGTATGTGATCTCAACAGTGAATTCTAGACTATGAAGCTTCAAACCATATGTCTCTAAATTCTTGGTTTTTTACTTTTGTTTGTTATATGTCATCTACTTATGTCATGATTGCGCGTTGATGGCACTCTTATGCTTTTAGCTGGTGTTGGTTCCGTAGTCACACCAAAATTTTCTATTTATGATGTTTATCCAGACCCGGGTTTACCAATAGGCAAATGAGGTAATTGCCTAGGGCCCCCAATTTTAGGGGGCCCCATATATATATATATATATATATATATATATATATATATATATATATATATATATATATATATATATATATATATATATATATATATATATATATATATATATATATATATATATATATATATATATATATATATATATATATATATATAT